AAAAATCGTAAGAAGAATCAACTCTTTCATTAGCATTACAACACTTTATTAGTTGGTTTCCTTTGAATGATTTTTTTATTTTTATATAAATATTTTCAAGTGAACTGACGTTTATATTAATTTTATATTTATGATAATAATCGAGTGGATCAAATTCTTCCTATTGCTAATCATTGCAAGAAAAGACCTTGATTAATACATGGCTCTTTTGACTTGTTAATCTAGGTAGAATGGTAAAATAAGTACTCTCGGACTATGGAAACTTGAGCAGTTAAAATCACTATACCAGCGTAAAAGGCAACAAACATGTGGTAAATATGAGAATATGATTGATTCATCAATTCAAATGGGAAAACAAAAGACATTGTCACGAAACATATATGGCCCACACTCGTATGAGCAAACCAAAAACATCGTTCCATAATCACAAATGTCATGAAATGTATAGAAGACTATGTGAAAGTAACCGCCAAGTTCGTCATGCATGACTTCCGCTCCATTTCATATGAATACATTCAAAATATAGTTTGAATTTATTTGTAAATAAACTTTTTATATTTAAAATAGATTTAAATTTAAAGTTTTATTTATTTTTATTTTTTAAAATATTCTTGGCATAATAATTTGTAAAAGGTCATGATGATGGATAGTTTGGTCATAAAACTTTAATTGTTTAAGTCTTTAAGGGTTCATTTAGAAATCCTATCTTTTTCTTTTTTTGAAAGAATTTAGTTTAATTATATTCAAATTCATAAAATTGAAATTTATAAAAGTTAACTCATTATTTAGAATGAATGAATTCCACGATATTCTTTTGTAAATCTAAATTTTTATTTTTGGTATAAAAATAAAGAATTAAATCCTTTGAATTCAATTTTATAGATTTGAACATGAATCAACTAAATTCAGTTAAACAAAAGATAGAATTTCCAAATGAATTCCTCAAATTTAAACAACCTTAAACTTTATGACAAAACTATGCTAAGAGTGTTTTAGGAATAAATGCAAATAAAATTTTAATTTTTAAATTTATTCCAAACATGAAAAATTCATTTTTCTTTATAAATAAATTTCATATTTTGAATTCATTTATACTAAATGATATGTAAACTTTTATTTTTTTATACAAAAAATAAAAATTTGGATTTATAAATAAATTTAAAATTCATTTATTTCAAATAAAAGTTAATTTAATAATCATAAATTCATAATAATAAATCTCAATTGCATATTAAGATGTAGTCTAATAATAAATGTATGGGTGACCTAATAATTGACCTAAATTCGAAATAGGGTTTTAATTTCATGAAAATCTATGTGGATATGATAATTATGCAAAAATTGAATAGGGTGGTGCTTTTGCTGTAGCACTGTCTTTGTCGACAGCACACGCAGGAGGTATGGGATTGAGACAAAGTTGCGAGTAGAAATCTTGACTTGTGGCTGTGGTAACAAATGAGCTGCAACGAATTCTGTCCGCCTAGTGTTTAATGTTCTGTGAGTTGATGCTTTATTAGCCCCACCTCCCTTTACCTTTCTGCCTTCCTCTGGCGGACATTTGTGGCTTTTGGTGTTTCACGGTGGAAGATAACTAGTGGCTATTGGATATAAGTAGATAACCATAATATATCTCAATCTAATCTCCTATATAACGTAAATAAAGTGCATTTTGGATTTGATTAGTGGCTATAAACCAGCTGCAACAAAACCGTGGCTGGTTTTAATGGTCGTGACTTATGAGTTGATGCTTAGGCCCACCTCCCTTCAATTCTCTGCCTTTTCCGGCGGACATTTATGGCTTTTGGTTTTAATGGTGGAGGAGAAGTAGTGGCTACCGGAGATAAACTCTATCTCAAATCTTATCTCATTTAACCACACTATTCAAACTTTGAACTTCCCATTTGTTGCACTATAATTAGATGATGGATAAGTATTCAAATAATAGATAAAGTTCAATGGCTTACGGTTTATTGTGAATAAAAAAAAAAAAAGATTATCAGTTCCTATTGTTTTCATAAAATATTATAGAAAAAAATAATGTATTGTAACCTCCTATCTTGCACTATTACACGTACTAAATCATAAAATTACCAACTCAATAAAATTATTTTTCATTATAATATAAAAATAATAAAATATACTTAATAAATATTATCATAAGTTCACAATTTTAATTTGATTTTTATTAAAATTTTAAACTTAAAATCATATAATTCTAGGGATAATTTTAATATTAGTAACAAAACATTCATCATCAAATGTTGACATCACATCATAATGCCAAAAATTAAAACAATGGCAGGAGAAAAACCTCAATATAGCATATTATGGCATATTCCTTCCGCCTCCAATTGATAGACACATTTTCTATGTCCCGAGAATTAAAAAAAAATTAGTTATTTTAATTAAAAATGTAAATATGCATGTATTTTTCTATTATGCCATTATTTTAATATGGGATATACTCATTAATCTATTAGACTTTTGCATCAATCGAAAGTAATTAATTATCTAAGATTGGTTAATAGGCTCATATTTTCAATTTTCAAAGTTATTAATTTTAACAAGTAATATTAAATATGTTTATAATAGATATTTAATATATTAACTAAGTTATTAAAATCGTAAGTAAGCTATAATTTGAGAGAAATAGAAAAGAAAGATGTGCTTATCCATAATAAACAATATAAAGTCAAGAAATTAGCACACTACAATAAAAATTGTTAATATTAAAAAAGAAAGGAAAATTATTATTTCATCAATAAATTTTGACAAAATTAATGACTTTGTCCCTTCAAATTGATAAATTAGTATGACGTTCTTAAAGTTTAGCTTCGTCTGGCTAAATAGTTCTTTCATCCATTTTTATAGTTTTTTCCTTTTAAATTGGAATGAAAATACGAAAGTACCTTGAATTACCTCTTTCCTCATCAACAATTTTCCGGCAAAATCCACCTGAAATAACCAGTGCCACTGTCACTTCCCTCCTCAATCGAACCCAAAATTCAACATTGCCAAATAACGCTATTTTCCCTGTGAATCAAACTAAGTATTTGAAGAAATGTCTTTGAGGACATTTCTCGAACACATTCCTTCGTTTACTTTCTCCCTGATATAAATAAAGGGAAAGTTGAAAGCATATTATTTATTATTTTTTAAAATATTTAAAAAAAAAGCATCTTATATTTTGAATAGAATAACCATTCTAAAACGATTTATATATATTATTTATTACATGTTATTTACATAAATTTGCATTAATAATCATAAAAAAGTAACAAACACTGTGGAATGGAGTTTTATTACTGGATACGAGCATGAAAATGAAAAGCTCTAGCTAGTGAGTGAGCCCCTTATTCACTTGTCTCCTAATTCATCTAATTGCCACGTTTGACCAAGATGCCAATAATAACTCACAATCCTTTGAATTAAACTCAATTCAGAAAAATAAATAACACTAGAGTTTAAAGCAAAAGTATAGATTGACATCCGCATAAAAGACATCCAGGAGAAGAAAGGTTACGTTGAAGCCATAAAAGACAAGACCGCAATGCAGTAGCCTCCACTAGTTGAGGATACCTGTTGGCTGTTAGAGTCGAAGAAGCTTGATCCAATGCAATAGCTAGCTTTCCACTCTTATTTGCCCTTTATCCAATGAGGAATTCTTAAAATCCACTCCCCCAAAAGGTGACAATTTGCACAAGGGTTCAAAATATTTATGTTATTTATTCTTCAATTTTCAATTTTTGGGATTTCTTTTTTTATTCAGGATTAAAAAAAACAATGAATAAGTGCAATTCTTATCATTTTAAATGATGTGGAAGGTATTGTAAGGGTAATTATTGTCAATTTAAATTTTCTCACTTACCTCTTTCTTAATTTTTACAAATTTGTGGCTGAAAAATTACTTAAAAATGGACACATAGATAGAAACAGTCATATGAAATTTCAAGGAAACTATAATAATTTTATCAAATCCCAAGGTTGAAATAGTAATTTTTCCAAAAACAATTTCTAGATTGGAAATTTGGCTGTGGATATGATTAAACAGTGAGAGAACATCAATAATTCAAACTTCAAATTAAGTGCTACCGGTAGAGCGGGGAGAATGCACTTTTACTGTTAAAGACAACTACGCTTGATGAAAGGAATGCTTCATGCTTGTTTCTTCCCAGGCAATTGAAGGAATTGATGTTTTGGTTCATATTAACTAAACTAGAGATGAAAAATTACATTTTCTCTAAAAAAAAAAAAAAGAAGAAAATTACATTTAATTAAAACCAAGTAAATAAATTTACTTTCTATGTTTATTTTTATGCCAACCTCAACTAGTTTGGCTGTAGTTGCTGTTTTTGTATGCTTAAAAATTAGCTGATGACAAAAAGCCCACCAAAGCTATAATTACAATCAATTAAAATACTATAAACATCAAAATACAAATGTATTTAACTAAAATTTTTTGAAAAGTAATAGTATGTACAATGAACAACCCGTTGAGAATACCTTATAAAGAAAAATCCAACTTGGCAACATTTACAGCCTCACCAACTACTTACCTAAAACATCGCCATAGTTAGGTTCATATGCTGATCAATTAATAAAACTCAATTTCTGAAACCACAAGTTCAATTAACAAGTAAAAGGTTCGAGCCATCGGTTCTATTGTTCCTTGAAGTCATGAAACCTAAAACCCTTCCTTCAACGTCTGTATCATTCCCGCCAAGGAAACACGTGGGTGGTACCTGCTGCTGCTATCTCACGTCAGTCCCTCTTCAGTTACACTGTAAAATTTTATTAGATCAGTTGTGGCCTGACATGTTTTAATCTTTTCTAAAAAGGCGGAATCTAAAAGTTATTAGATTCGCCTCCTTTATTTAATTAATAAATGGAAAATTATTATTTTTACTGTATAGTACACCGTATTATTATTTGTATTTAACCTCGGCGGAAAAAATAAAAAAAACCCTTTAAATAGACAACACATCCTCCATCTTCATATTCATATTTCTTCCAACTCATAAAGTTCCTCTCTGATACTGCTTCCTTACTAGAAATTAGCATTTGCAGAACTTGTCCAAATTCAAAATCTGCACGTTCCATTCCTATTCAATTAAATTAACTTTGCTCTCATGATAACTCTAGAATGGCGGACGATTCAATTAACCCTTCGCCGGAGATTAATTTGTTTGACAAATATGAGTTAGGAAAGCTTCTAGGTGTTGGAGCCTTCGCTAAAGTTTATCATGCCAGAAATGTCCGTACAGGCCAGAGCGTCGCCATTAAAGCAGTCAGCAAACAGAAGGTTTTGAAAGGTGGATTTATGGCGCATGTTAAAAGAGAGATCTCTATCATGCGCCGGTTGCGTCACCCTCACGTGGTGAAGCTTTTAGAGGTTTTGGCCACCAAAAGTAAGATCTTTTTTGTTATGGAGTTTGCTAAAGGCGGTGAGCTTTTCGCTAAGGTTGCTAAAGGACGGTTCAGTGAAGATCTTAGCCGTCGGTATTTTCAGCAACTTATTACAGCCGTCGGATATTGTCATGACAGAGGTGTGTTTCATCGTGATTTGAAACCGGAGAATCTTCTCCTCGACGAGAACTGGGATTTGAAAATTTCAGATTTCGGTCTCAGCGCTCTAAGGGATCAGATCCCGCCGGACGGATTGCTTCACACTTTATGTGGTACTCCAGCTTACGTGGCACCGGAGATCCTCGGTAAGAAAGGTTACGACGGTGCTAAGGTGGATGTTTGGTCATGCGGTGTCATCTTATATGTGCTCATCGCCGGTTATTTACCGTTCAATGATACGAATCTCATGGTCTTGTATCGGAAGATTTATAGAGGTCAGTTCAAATTTCCGAGATGGATATCTCCCGATTTACGACGATTTTTGTCTCGGCTACTCGACCCAAATCCCGAGACTAGAATTACCGTCGATGAGATTCTTCGGGACCCATGGTTTATTAAGGATTACAAAGAGGCAAAGTTTCATTTGGAGGATTTTGATTCCAAGGTGCAAGACAATCACAAGCGTTTGAACGCTTTCGACATAATTTCATTTTCGTCCGGCTTTGATTTATCTTGTTTGTTCAATGACAACGATATCTCGGCCTGCAGTGAACGGTTCGTTTCATCCAAATCGCCTGCAAAGATAATAGAGAGAGTAGAAGAAGTTTTCAAGGGCGAAAACGTAAGAGTAACGAAAAAGAAAAAGTGGGGAGTGAAATTGGAAGGATTGAATGGTTGTTTCGTGATGGCTATTGATATTTTTCCATTAACAGAACAACTTGTTGTTGTAGAAGTGACAGGGAAGGAAGCAAATGTAAATCCAGGCCATGAAATTTGGAAAGATATACTATGGCCACAGCTTGGTGGCTTGATATATCAACCGGAGGCCACCTCCTTCGGTGACTGATTATCTGGCCGGAAAATTGTCTTAGCTGTGAATCTCTGTTCTGGAATCTAATATGATGTATATTTTTAATTATTTCAATTATTCCGTATGACATTCAATAATCTAGCATTCAAAAATCAAAAACTAATTTTTACCCGCAACTAAATAGGAATTAGGTTGGCAGTTGGGACTTTTTGCTCTGTACTTTTTTATCTTTTGCTTTTTATGCATGAAAACAAGGTAAATTTCTCAAAAAAATAAAAAGAAAAAGGTTGATTGAGGTGGGGCGGGGAAGGGAGTACTTTGTTTCTAATATTCTTTCTACCCATAATTTGATTTTTGAATCCTACAAAATAATTTTTAAATATATAAATGAAGTCTCAAACATTGGAACTTTTGGACTATAACAATTTAATAGTTTCAATAGACTCATACATTAATTCAAAATATTTTTAATAACAATGATAACAAACAACTTAGGTGATTTTATTATTACAAATCTTTTTATCACCTGACTATACTCGTTATTCGTACTTATTTAATTTTTTATGTTAATTTTTATTTTTTAATATTAAATATTAATTATAATTATATATTATTTAGATTTTATAATATTAAAATAGAATTTCATATAAAATTAATGTAAATATAACGATTAATTAATAAAACAACAATTTTATATAACAATTTAAAAACTTTAAAAGGATTAATTATTTATATTCTATTTTATAAAAAAAATATACTTTTTTTCCTTTTCATATCTCTCCTAAATAAAACATTTTAAATTATAATAACAATAGAATCAAATATTTAAAAATTAAATTTAATAAAATAAAATATAAAATTTCAAATGTCTCGTTATCATATGTATTTGTTAGAAAATAATATGTTCATACTGCTTTTCTTTTAAAAGAAAATATCATGCGTTCCCAACCACATTATATCTTTGAGAAAATAAATTTATTTTGGTATTAAAAATTTTTTAAAGTTTTTTATATGTTTTTTCCTTATATGTTTGAAATATTTACATTTTTTTATATAATAACTTAGTTTACACAAATGTTAAAGAAAAAGTTAAAGAACATATTCCGGTATTGTAATAAAATAAATAATTACATGTATTATAGAAAATAAAGTTTAAACAAATACTTCTCAATACCATTAAAATAAATATAATTGTTGATACCTTTAAAGATAAATATAATTATTGATTGATTGAGTAATTAATTCATTGTGAAATTGAGAAATAATCGAATGTAAACTTTTAAATTAATTAATAAATAATTATTTAAAAAGGTCAATTGATTAATAATTTAATATCATAATTTAATAATTTAATATCATAATTTATTAATTATTAAAAACCCATGCTATTTAATAAATTCAAATTATTATTAATTATCTAAAAAATTATTTTGAAATTTATAAAATTTCACTAAAGTTATTATATATAATCACATTATTTTTCTCATTTTCACTTTTATATATAATATAAATATATTACTAAAAAGGCGTAGAGTTCGGCCTTCGAATTGCTTTTTAATTAGCAATAGTGATTTGATTTCTTTTTTTCTTTTTTGCCCTTTTTCAATTACCAAAAAGATTATAGTAGCCTCAATCATCTAACACGTCATCAAATAATAGCAAACATTATTAATTTCAATTATTTTATCCAATTATTTGGACTGTGACTTATGTCTTTTTTTTTTTTTTCAATATTTGCTTCGCTGAGTAACAACAAATTTTAGAAATTAAATAAATTATTTTAAAAGTGTTTATAATACAATTTAATCATCATCTATTTTTTATAATTAATTAAATTGTTTAAAATATACTTTTTATACCTAATAATTTTCTAAAATATCTTCTTACTTTAAACCCTACAACTCAAATAACCTCTAAAATAATTAACTATCCAATTATTTATAACTTTTGAAAAAAAAATCTATTTATTCAAAATAATTTCTGTAAATTATACTATCCACTCCATCACTCTTTTATAAAAATATCAAATATAATCTTTTTACTTTTTTTTTTTATTCTATTACACATTTAAAAAAACATCCGGCGCAGCGCGGGGCAAATACGTTCGTTTAGTCTAAATTTGGTAATACTTAGGATATGCGAAGTACCATCGAAGACTTGGCATATCAATTTGTATACATCAAAATTAATTAAATTTAGCATAAATAAGGTAGAAGAGTAAGAAAGAGTTACTGTAACATTAATAAAAAGTGACATTTTTTAAACAATTAATTATATACGAAGAACAGGTAAATATTTTTCATCATTCAATTATAAATATAAATTCCACAATTTCACTTGTCTCATGTTGTAAATCAAAATTAGAGATATTTAACCAATGGATTTAGGTTCAAAATTGAAAATCAAATGATATTTTTTCACACCAACCGAATCAAGTTTATTTATTTAACTTAGTTTAGTTGTAAGTATTTTTTTGGGGGCTTAATAAAAATTAAACTGAAATTAAATCAAGTACTTTAAAACTAAACTAATTCTAATCGATTTAGTTTGATTTGTTTTAACTATTTAGGCTTATATTTAAAAGATTTAGTTTGATTTGTTTTAACTATTTAGGCTTATATTTAAAAGAAAAAAAAAAACTAAATCAATCATATAACAGGTCTAATCAAGTTCATCTATTTCAGTCTATTTTCTATTTTATTTTATTTTTTTGAATGTTGCTGAGTTCCAATAAATGGTAAAAGTTTTCTCTAATTTAGCAAGATGTGAGGCTGGAAGTGATGCGAGTGCTTAAGGGTACCCACCTCACTTTGATCTGTTTAAATAGAATATGAGTAGTTATAAATAAATTTGAGACGGTTACGGATAGTGAAATTACTACCGTAATAAATACGATTATAGTACGGATATAGGTCTTTGAATACTCGCTACCCGCTATTGGGTACCTATGAGTGTCCTATCCACTATTAATAAGAATTATATTTTAAATAAGTTAAGATTTGAATAGTTAAAATTCACAAGTACCATACCAGTATAAGGGTATTTTAAACAGATTTTGGATGGATACGGATAGTAAAGATTTAAACAAGTTTAGATACATATATTTAAATGAATATTTAAATGAATTTTAAATGGATACAGATAATAAATTTTTAAATTGATATGAATACGAATAATTTAAATTTTATTAGTATACCCAGCTGTAATTTCTAGGATACTCAGTCGTCCTTCGTATTCCTATTCCTAATATAGGAGCTATTATAACAAGTTGCACAGGCATTGGCATTGGCATTGCCATTTGACAAGGACCCAAATGAGAAATTTATTTACTCTAAATGCGCGTTGTTTTGGCATTAGTTAGACTGCCTAATTTGTTTTGTTCTTAAATCTCTCACCAAGATTCATCAATATTGGTTAGGTGTTTTCCTCTGCCATGTGCACGTTCTCTCTGCCATGTGCAAGCTTTGGATACCTTGAAACAATGTAATTTTTGTCTTCCACTCAATGAAACCATGTGCACGCCTTGTTCTTTGTTGTGCAAGCTTTGGATGCCTTAAACAATGCAACTTTTGTTTTCCACTAACGCAACCATGTGCACGCCTTGTATTTTGTCGCCATGAAACCATAAACATCTCCCATTTTTCCAGTTTCTTCCCATTTCCATGACACTAACGAAACCATCAACCTCTTTCCTCTTGCCTGAAATTTTTCCATTTCAGTCATGGAAGATAATTTCGCCCACCTTTCTATAGATGAGGAGGAGACTGAGCTTTCCCTTCCTAATCCAACTCATAACCCTCTAGTTGACCCATATAGTTTCTGTTTGGTTGGCATATTTCTCACTTATAGCAGAATCAACTTTGAGGCTATGAAACACACACTAGCATATCTCTGGCATCCAGTAGGCGGAATGGACATCCAGGAAGTTGAAGCCAAACGTTTTCTCTTCAGTTTCTACAATATGGTTGATATGGACAGGGCTGTCACCAGTGATCCTTGGTTCTTTAATAAACATCTTCTTGTTTGGCAACAGATCCACAGTGGAGAAAACAAATTCTTTTTTGAAGTGGGCGGAATTGAAGATGTGGCTTCATGTATCAGTGATGAGACTAAAAAAAGACAACGAGTTATTCCTACAACTCCTAACACCACTGTCGTTTCTCATAAAAGTGATTTGATTCTGCAATCTGGAACACTTCGACCATCAATCAGTCGGGAACATACATCGATCTATCCGTTGAATGCAGATGGCGGAGCGGCAATGAAGATCCTTTCGTGGAACTGTCGGGACTGGCAACCTCGGACAGTACAGCTCTATATAGCTTTGTTTCAATTTACCGACCCCTGTTATTTTTTTCCTTGGATGAAACTTGTATTGCAATTTACCGCCCTGTTATTTTGTTCCTTTGTGAAACTTTAGTTCATAAAATGAAGTTTATTCAACTTTGCTCTTTATTGCGTTTTGATTCTTGCTTTTCTGTGGATTGTAATGGGAGAAGTGGTGGTCTTGGTTTGCTTTGGAAGAATGAAGTTGATGTTTCCATTTCTCGTTACTCAAATAATTTTATTGATGCTTTGGTTCTTTGTTTTAGTGTTTCATGGCGCCTAATTGGTTTTTATGGGTTTCCGGAAAGATGTAGAAGGCAGGACTCCTGGGACTTGATTAAAAATTTATCTCATAGACATAATGGTCCTTGGTTATGTGTTGGGGATTTTAATAATTTATTGGCTGATTCGAAGAAGATTGGTGGAAACCAATATCCTAGATACTTGTTGAATGGTTTTAAGGAGGCGGCAGTGGAGAGTGACTTATGTGATATTCCTACAAAAGGATATCAATTTACTTGGTTCTTGAAAAGATTTGGCCGAATTATCACCCGTGAGAAACTTGACCGTGCTATGGCCAATAATCACCGGTCCTGTTTATTCCAGGAAGCTTATACGACTACGTTGGTTTCACCAACATTGGACCACGATCCATTGTTAGTTTCGACGGTGGAGGGTGAGGTACCTCATCGGAAGGAGAGGAAGTTCCGTTTTGATAATGCATGGCTTCATGACGAAGATTTGGTTGGAGTAGTTCGAGACAATTGGTCCTCCTCCATGGGGTCTGATTTAATGCTCCGTAAAAAAGCTTGTATAGAAGCACTACAAAGGTG